ACATCAAGATCACTACACACCTAGTAGGCTTCCTAAAACTAAGACACCCAATAGGCTTCCTAAAACTAAGACAGCAAGGGGAGCAAGCTTTGCCGAGGATGTGGGGAACCTAGAAGGTCACAAAGTGCTGAGGGGGTTGTAAAACAACAGGCCACTCTGAAAAGCAGTCTGAGCATTTAGTCAAGTCTTACTCACACTTCTCTGTTTAGTGAAGAGAAATGAAAACATGTCCAAAGGCTGTTACATGAAGTTTTGCACCAGCTGTATTTTTAATAACTAGAATAAGCTGAAGTGACCATTCTGGTTCTCAATTGGTGAGTGATTAAACAGACTGTAAAATATCCACCCACCACAGAGTGCTTAGCAGTGAAAGGAGAAATGCTCTAATGGCAAATGTGGTACTAGAGATGAGGATAATTAATGATAAGAATGAAAGAAGTCCTAGATGGGAAGAAGGGGGTGAGCAGGATTGGGAGAGGGAGGGTAGTGTGTGTGTGTGTGTGTGTGTGTGTGTGTGTGTGTGTGTGTATGTGTGATCACAGCACTTTGTACACATGCATGAAACTGTCAAAATAAAAAAAGCATCATGTAAGAAGTCAAACCCCCAATGATATTTTCCATTTATCTAACACTGTAGAATATGCAGTTGCCTACTCTAATTGATAGAAAGCAGATCAGTGGTTAGCCGAGGTGGGGCTCGGTGGGAAAGAGTAAGATTGCAAGGAGTGATTGTGAAAGGGTGGAAGGAAAAGAGAAAACTGAGAAAGGAAAGAACGTGACAACTCCCTCCAAGTGGTGGAAGGTAACTTTGGAAATACGGTATGTTCAGTCTATTGGCTGTAGTAACAATTTCTATTTTAGACTATGTGTGATTTGTTTAATGTCAACCAAATGGTTAAACATATATAAGTATACATGTCCTGTAAGTCAACAAAAAGTATAAGTAGTTGTCATAAATGAACAGATGAATGAGAAATTCCTAAATGAAATTAGGAGACTGATAAATTTATTAAGCTGGAAAAGAAATAAAAGTAAGAATGTATTTATAAATAATGTTTCTTGTATCTTACACCATTGTGCACACAATTATTGTGGTAAATGTAGAAACCATTAATTAAAACTCATAAAGATAATATTTTTTGAGACATGAGACCTATCATTCAGTTCTTTAGGGTATTTAAGAGGGACATCTATTTTTTTTTTTGAGAAAATTTGATAATATATAGTAAAACCCCAAACAGTATGAAGCTTTGACACAATAAATCTACCACTAGGAATTGATCCTAAGTAAACAGGGATCACATGATAGAAAAAAAATCATATACTTATTTTTTTTAAATAACAGTGAAGAGACTAAAAATGCACAAAATCCATCAGAGAATTGACTTAATAAGACACAGCATCATCTGCCATTGTAACCATGAAAAATGAAATTATAGAAAAGTTTTAGAGACATAGAAAGATGTTTGCTGAACATCAAGTGATTAAAACAATAAAGCCAGTGTACAGAATATATTTAGATAAAATATATAAAGGTTCTACATTGATGTTTAAGACAACGATATTTGCGTTGATTACCTCAGCATTTAGTTATTAGATTGTTTTTTCTTCATTTTGATTTGATTTTTACTTGTCTTACAATGGAGATACACTGCTATGCTAATTACAGCCCCAACAAAAGTTATTTAAGAAAAGTGAACGATACTGCTCTATAAATGAATGCAATCTGCCTTGGTGGTCCTTCTGAAGACATTTCACTCAGAGTTACAAAAACAGTTTAGATGCCTTGGGAATGCCTGCATTATTTCTGCTCTGAAAATGGAGCCTGTAGGTTACTTACTACCTTTGGGCTGGACCAAAGGTAGGAGTGGCACAGGACTGGCTCTGCCTTCCAGAGAAACTGGCATACTCATGAGCTCCTGCAGGAAGTACAACTATCATTAAGTTGCAAAGAAGTAGTGCTTGGGTTGCCCAGGGCAGTGGGTCAGGTAGGCTGAATCCTTGGTATAGCACAGACTCCAGGGGCCATTCCCAAATCTAACCTACATAGTCAAGAGTGAAGAGCAACAAGGGACTTACTTGAGTCCTAAATTCCACTTTACACTCATGGAAAGTAGGCCAAGAGGACCCATTCAGGTGCTATTCCATTAGCTGCAGCTGTGGCTTGAAGTGGAATCAACGCCAATGGGTCATATAACTAAATTGGCCATTTCTGGAAACAGATTCACTCACCCTCTGGAATCTCTATCCTCAAGTTTCAACGAGTAAGAGCTATCTCTGAGACATGGCCTTTAGGACTCCGAATCTCCCTTCTCCCCTTCCTCTAGTGAAACAAGAGAATCAAAGTCCAGGAATCACTGTTCCTGTGCCACGGAACCACGTGGTAGGTATCACAGCATGTGATTAGGTTACAAGCCAGTTAGCCCCACACACCAAGAAATACTTGAGTCTAAGCACTTGATGGCTACAGTAGGGCTGGTAGATTGCTTTCATCCACAAACTACAGTGGATCAGCCTTGGATATCAATGAGTTCCAAGGCAGTGACTGTACTGAGTGACACAAGCATCATAACCAGGGATGCCTTGGTGTGGAAGGAATGCTGAATAGAATGTGTTACCCTTAGAATAAGAGCAACCATTCAGAGTACTGAATGGATTCATCTGGAATAGTTCTTTTACTACTACTCTTGTAAACAAAAGCTAGGAGCTAGGCAGGTGACTCAGTAGTTAAGCATGGTCACCACTCACAGAATATCTGAGTTCAATTTCAGCATCCATGTCTTATACTCCAGCTCCAAGGATCCGACCACACTCATGTGCATATACACACAACCACACACACAATATAAAATTAAAAATCTCTAAGTATTCTTCTTAGCATCCTATTTTAGTATATCTGTTTTTTTTTAAAGCTCAGAATTCAAGATGATCCTCAATTTGCTCCTTTCTGTTTTAATTTCTTAGGAACTCAGTGCAAAACTGCCTGCCTGGATTGTTTCTTGTAACAGAGGGCCCAGCTGGAGCATCCAGGGGTAGGGACCTATCCAATTGGGAACAAATGGATGAACAAATCTGAGGGAGTCAGTATCAGGGGAAGCTCAAGATGGGCAGAAGACATCACAATTGTTGAATTGAACTCTGACTGAGCTTAGCTTATCTTGATGATTCTATTCCAGTCTAGCTACTCACCATCAGGTTCAAAACAAAGGAGTTGTACAGCTTTTCTAGAAGGATCTCTAATAGATACCTTGCACATTTTCCCTCAGGATTCTGATCATTTTCTTCTTCTTTTTTTAACCCCAAGCATTCATTCTCCTGCATTCTGCCTATTTTAATCACATTCATTCTTTAGTACTCATTTCTATAGCATCACAGAGTCCTGATATTTGACACAATTTCCGAACCCTAATTTATCTCCAAGTAGCACACAGAGCCCCCCTAGGTCTACAGTGCTGGAGCAGCACTGATTTTTGGCTAGGCTGTTGCACTCAGGGACTCTATGAACACTGGTTCACTGTCTCCTTCAAATGGAGCAGTCTGGACATAGACTGGAATATTAAGGTGTCTTAACTGTTAGATTTAAATACCAGTCTAAGGTAACAAAGCATCATAAACCAGCAATGGAATGCAGCAGCAAGCACAATAAATCCTTATTGCCCATGGCTAAAATGAGACAAAAATATTATTTCAGAATAAGGGAGAAAGAAATTATAGCTACCCTGGAAAGGTATGAGTCGATGAACCTTTCTTTCTTGCATGTGGAATGGTACCTGAGTGACTCAAAAGGGTTATTCAGCTTGAAGACCAGCAATTGCTATGCCCTTTGTTAGCTACCAGGCTATAACTAACACCAGAATAATGAGTCTCAAACAAAGATGCTTATAATGCACATACTTAATTTGGAGTAAGTTTATCATTGGTAAGCCAAGGAATTGAAATTTAAAGCTGTGTGGCTTCCAGTCAGTGGTATATGGAAAAACACAATGCCAAACTGTTCATGTATTTGGAAACATGTAGTAGGAAACAAGGGCCACTTGCTAATTCAATTGATGTCTTACCTCCACCAGGGTTAGAGATAGAGAAGATAGAAGCATTTTCATATGCTGATAAGGTATAATGACTCCTCATTTATTCAGATGATAATGGAAATTGAAGGACATCTTTCTGCACTCTAATTCTAAACTCACTAAGGCCCTTGGCCACTTTGATAAGTAGTTACCAGGGTGACTGGTAAACAAACCTCTGGGTGGGAGAACAGAGGAACTTTAATCTTTGAGCCAAGAAAGTAATTCTAGCAGCTGTTATCAATGTTCAGGGGCATATAGTATAAAGAATTTATCCATTTTGTGGGCTTAAAAATGAAAGTGGTTAAAGGCTTTGATTTCTCTTCCTAACCAGTGTTAAGTCCTAGGCCCACAGCACGATCAAGAGAAGGGCAAACAGATTTCCCATGTATCCCTGTTCTCTTTACACACATAGCCATGCCTTAGGCCATGAATCCAGAGTGAGGAGCCCAGAACTCAGATGCAGGCAAAAGACTTTGCTCCTGGATGGTACCAGTTGTGTAGTCAATAGCTTGGTTCCCCAAGATTTTGCCTTGGGAAGTCTGGGATGGCTGTAGACAAAATCTAGGGTGCTAACACTATAGTATCTTTAAAAGCTATATGGTGGGGAGGAGACACAGAAGGGGTTCTTCACTGCTTACTCCCTCCTCAGAGTTCAGTGAGTTCCCCTGAAGCAGAGGGTCTGGGCCAGGGCATCAGCCCAAGAGGGGCCATATTAGAATCCAGACAAACTGGAGTCCAGACCGAGAGCCGCACTCACCTCGTGCGGAAAGTCAGCCAAGTTTCCACTGGTGAGTCTGGATTCTGTAGGCAATTTAGTGATTTCCTGTTGGCCACCCCCCACTGCTGCCCCCCTCCCACCTGCAGGCAGTCACCCATCCATAAATCCTGTCCAGCCCTGGATTTTTGCCCAATGTTTCAGAGGGTTGGACTCACCAAGGAGAGCGGAATTCCCAGGATCCAGGACCAGCTGTGTTCCCAGAGGAGACATCAGCACTGAAGGAAGGTTCGGTCCAGTGGCTAAGAGCAAGGCCCTGATGTCTTCCAACTGTGTGGGGACTTGTGGGGGATCTGGGAGAAAATAGATAGTGAATCAGAAGGTGAGGTATACATGAAGGAGAGAGTAGGCACGTACCCCTGTGTGTGTATGATAGGCACTGTTGCAATTGACTTCGTTTTTCCTTAGAGAAGGTATACCAATGAAGGTGAGTCTGAATTTCAAAGTTAATATTTGATGCCTGAAATAACAAGGTCTGTAATAAGAACCAGGCCTGTGAATTTCAGGAGTTCTCACTTTAGACCACTTTGAAGCACACCACCACTGGGCCTCTCTAACAAAGCAGATAAATTGAAACACCTTACAAAGACAGGATTTTTTTTTTTAAGGACAATTTTAGCATTTACTATATGCCAAGTTGTGAGATAAATAGTTTTCGACCAATTTTTTTTACTTAGCTCATAATATCCTTAGGAATGAGGCAATTTGTAACTGTCTCCACAGATAAAATACTATCCAAGCATTTATTTAAAGGGATCTATACAAGTGCCTTTTTCAGTGAGAGACAACCTAGTTGTGAAGCTGATATGCTTTGTAGTAGAATTCTTGTGCCCAAGTAGGACCCAGATAAAAAAAGGGCAGGAAGAAATTGTTAAGGGGTATCATGCAAAATCTTTTAAGGAGACAGGGCTGAAGTCTTCAGGTGGGTTTGGACAGGCCCCTGCCATGTGCTTGGCATTTTGTTAGTACATTTTAGACACGTACATAAATGTTGATGGTATCTACTTCAGGAACAACCTTTTTATCTTTCTGCCTTTGACTGGCAAAGACCATCACGGAGAGAAGACAATGGTGAAATGATGTATCTATATAAGAAACAGTGCATTCAACCCTTTTCATAGGGAAAACATTAAGTTTAGGAAGCCATAGTTTGAACTATGGCTGTGACATTGATTAACTTGGGCTGGTCCTTGGCCTACTGGGCCTTAGGGGCCTCATTATGAAGATCTCTTTGAGTAAACTGCCATTGTCAAAGTGTCTTTATTCCTCTCCTCCTCCTTTCGCCTTTATTTATTAATTAAAAGCAAAATGGGGAGGCTAGTTTCATCTGAGAAACAATTTATTCTCCTTGGGCCAAATGTCAGTCCCTGCCTGTTTCCACAGCTTCTATCGGAATTCTTGGTGTGTATGTGCATGCCTATTTTATCTTCCCAGTGGAAATGTAAATTCTCCAGGGGCAGATACTGCCTCATTCCCCCCACCCCAAAACTCTACTAGTGTTCACTTAACTAGGGCTTAGAGGCAATGCTCTACAAATGTCTGTCCACTGATTACATGAATGACTGAAAGAAGGAATGGCATGCCATTCCATATCGAGCTTTCAGACTACAGGACTTGATGTGATTTTGATATACAAAATCTCCCCTTTAAAAACTAAGCCAGATTATCACTGAAAAAAATAAAAGAAATGCTATTTCCATGATAACATTTATTAATTAAACCAAGACTTCCTATAAAGATCTGAACAGTGATTGTTTTCTTCTGGGAGGTTTTATTAAAATGGGGGAAGGCACTATGCTCTTCTACCATATTCATGGTCATACTCTATTTGGAATGCAGTAAGAACTCATTCTGAGAAAATGCTTCATTGCTGATGCCACAGTAGCACTCCAAGACTTCCATCTCTGTTAGCAGAGACAGCAAGGCAGGGCTATTAGGGAGAAAAATCCCACCAGTGAGTGCTATCACTCAGCATGACCCCAGGATAACAGCTCAGTTGATGAAACCCAATGGAAAACAAATGACATCCTTCTTTTCTCCGAGCCAGTTTTCTGTGGCTTCCTATGAAGTCTGGAGGTTTATGCAGCCACCAGTGAGATGAAACCACAGCTGAGCCCCTGGAATCTGAGTGGGCGGGGTTAGGGAGGATACATCATCAGCTGTGGGTGTGAAAATCGAAGTGTAAAGTTTATTTTCCCCAGAAAAAGTCCACAGTGTATGTTGACATATACATGTGTGTGGCATGCAATTATTATTTCTCATATTTTGCTTTGCCTTCCCCCACTTAGAAAGACAGTTTCCTCTTGGTGAGAGAGTCAGCATATGGGTTCTAATTATTGCTCTATTTTGACAGGGTAAGGCACCATCTACAAGCTTCTGTTCTATCTCAGGCACCCACCCCTGACTTAGTGGAAAGGAAGCAGAGGAGGGTGGGCAAAGAGGGCAAGATGGCCAAGCTCTGTCCTGTGGAAATATTATGGCAGACGTTGACTCGGGGATTGTTTGTCTGTTTATTATTTTTTGAGAAAGGGTTTCCCTGTGTAACAGCCCTGGCCTTCCCGAAACTTGTTTTGTAGACCAGGCTGGCCTCCAACTCACAGAGATCTGCCTGCCTCTGTCTCTGCTTGCTGAATGTTAGATTTAAACATGTGGGCTACCACTGCCCGGCAGGACTGTTTTTATTTGTATATGTTTATTTTATATCAGGACCTGCAATATAATTTTTAATAAGGAGTTCTTATGCTTGGGATATGCATGTGAAGGTTTCATGCAGACTGAAAAATACTTGGAAATGTATGAACAACTTTTTACATATATGGATTTTTTTTCAAGATAAGGTTTCTTTATGTTGGAACTCATTCTGTAGACCAGGCAGGCCTCAAACTCATAGAGATCCACTTGCCTCTGCCTCCCAAGTGCTGGAATTAAAGGCATGTGCCACCACCACCCAGCTACACATAAGGCATTTTTAATCCATGTTTTTCATTTGGTCTTTAAAGAAAAACCTAGAATGGGATTAAAAGCCATTTTCCTCACCAGCTCCATTTGATAACCCTCATTTGCCAGCAAAGTGGGCAACCCTCAATTGTCAGTTTTCTCATAGCAGCATCTAAGATTTAGCAAGGGGAGTGATTTATCAAATACCTCAAAGTTAACTAACGAGGTAGAGCCAGGTTTCACCCTCAGCTTTGGCTGGCCTCACACTCTGTGTTTCCTGTTGGAAGGGCTGACTGTGGCAGGAGTGAATGAAAGGATATCCAGTCGATTTTATGTTCTTCATTCAGTAAGGGGGAAAAAGCAGGTGGAGGGTGGGTCAGCCACCACACACAGTCCACCTGAGGCCATGGGTTTGAGCGGTTTTTACCTAGAATCAGGAGTTGCGTCCCCTCTGTCAGTTCTCCATGAAGATTGGCTGCCCGGCAGGAATATAGGCCTTGATCAGAGAAGGACACATTTATGAGCAGCAAGGAGCCCTCATGCAGATGGTGGGAGGAGCCCAATTTGCTTTTATTTCTGAACCAAGTGACTTCGGCTTCAGGCACACCTACAAAGACAAAAATACGCTTATCAGGCAAATGTCAGGCGAACCCAGGACATCAAGAGCCTCTGGCCACCCTAGCCGGTTCTGCAGGAAGCATCTGTCTGGGCGTCTTCTACTGTCCTCAGCCAAAGCAAATATCACACCTTGGGCTTCTTCTTGTCTCTAGAGCTTTTGCTTTCTAAGACTTCTAGAGATGAGGCAGGAAGTGGGAGGCCAGTTAAATGGGGAGGGGACAGTGGCAGCTGGTAAATGGTACTTGCCAAGAATATTTAGGTTCTTAGGAGAAAATATCATAAAATAGAAAAACTACATGTATATACATCATAAGAATGAAAACTCTACAACTTAGATGAACACAGTGTTCAGTAAGAAAAGCCAGATATAGGAATACATACTGTCTGATTTTATGTCTATAAGTAAAGAAACAAAAACCGGTGGCATTACACACTTGTGAAGTCTCACTGACATGGCTACTAAACAAGACCTGAGTGGGGAGCACACCAACAGACATGATAACATGGGAAGGGGAATTTCACAGAGCCTCAACCCTAGACAAAGAACTACAGGTAACTAAGGGATGCCAAGAGCAGAGTAGTCTTCCCCAGAGAAAAGCCTCCAAACTGCTTTTTCTATACCAAGTGGCTAGCCCAGAAGCCATATACATACAAGTAACATTGAATGGATTGAGAAGGCTGTATTTATAGATTTAGAACTATATATGTAATGACAAATAAAGAAATGGGGGCCTTCAATTTGAGACAGAGTGGCAGAGTAGCGGAAGGCAGAGAAACGTGGGGGAGGCACATAGGAAGGACTGCAGGGAGAAGAGGGAAGGGGGGAGTTACATAACTACATTTTAATTAAAACAAAACAAAACGGAAACCCAAGTAGCATCATTGTATGTTGTTAGTGGGCAGGAGGATGAGTGGTTCCTCTGGGGAGTGGAGTGTATACAGGGGGTGGTGACAGAGAGGGAACCAAAAGCTGGGTCTTTGGCAATGGTAATTCTTGACCTGGAAATGGTTGGTTGTGGAGTGTACACTTGGCACCTTTTTGATGCATTCACTTTTCTGTACACACGTTTTATTAAAAATAAAGCCAAGGATATAAAACATCAAAATATATGTGTGACCCAGACAAATGGAAGCCATTGGGCCGTTGTTAGACTTGACAGTACAGAGGAAGCATGGTGTTTTCTTTAAGCTGCCATGGTTTAGATAAAAAAATATGTATATGCATGTCCATCTGTGTGTGGGTAGATGCATGTCAGTGCAGGTGCCTACAGAGGGAGGCCAGAAGCACCAATCTGCTAGAGCTGGAGCAACAGGTAGTTAGTTGTGAGCTCCCTGATGTGGGTATTGAGAACCTAACTCATGTCCTTTGTGAGAGCGGTATGCAATCTTAAGCACTGAGCCATCTTCCCAGACTCTAGCATTTGGATTTTGAGTGTCCTCATAAACCCCATGTTTCCCAGGCATAGTTTTCTGGTTGGCACCACTGGGAGATGGTAGAACTCCTAAAGAAGTGGGGCCTACTAGATGGTCTGTTGGGGGAATACCTTTGAGGAGGGATCCCAGGATCCCAGGATTCCAGGTCCCTTTTTACTCTCTGCTTCCTGGCCCCAAGGTGTTTGGTTTTACTCTTCTACACACCTATCCCATGATCTATTATGTAACTACAGATTCAGCCTCAAAGCAACAAGCCAACTGATAACAGACTTAAGCCTCCAAAACCTCAAGTCAACAGAAACTCTCTCTTTATGAGTTGGTATCTTGGGTGTGTTATGTCAGAAAGGAGGCCAAGACAAAGGCTATCTTCTCAAAACAAGATAACACAAAGTGGTGACATCAGTAGTAGGATAGGAAATGGGCCAAAGGAGAGGACTCTGCCCTTCTACAATCCATTCTTAAATTTTTATCTGTGAGAGTCGTGGAGATTATGTATAGACATGGGATGGGTCCTCAGGAAGTTTCCTTGAAGTTGGTATTCAGGTAAGTAGTCTACAGTCTGTGACATGAGATCTTAGATGGCCTTCTGAAGAAGCTCCACAAGAGGACAGGCTCTCAGGGAGCTAGGAGACAGAAGGTTTGGGGTGCTGAATCCCAGGCTTTCAGGCAGCAGAAGCTTCATCTCTTTTACCATCCAGTCTGCTGCCAAGCCTAGTTTGCTCATAGAACTCCACAGCAAGCATGCAAGTAATGTTTAGAATGTCAAATACTGGAAAATGGGGTCAATGCCAAGAAAAGCCAAAGACCTAGACTCTTAGTCTAATGATTTCCCAGAGCAGGGCTGTATTTTGTCCTTGGGACAAGGCAGTGTTGTCCTGAGCAGACAGTTTACAAATAGTGGCACTGATTTCTTCAAGGAGTTATGTGTGCACCTACTATTTGTCTTAAAATTGCTCAGGAAAAGTAGGGCTAATGGGAGGAAATATATACAGTCTTGGATTTTGAAGGCTTGTCACCTCAGAGAGAGACATACACTGATTCAGCTCAAATAATACAAGGCCTGAGTACACCACAGAGAGGCTGACAGCATCTCTAAATACACCTTGAGAAAGGATGCAGGTGAGAGGCCAAGAGCAAGTTGTCATTGTAGTACCACTAGGGATAGCGAGAGCATCATGATGTCTGCCCATGCCAGCTAGGCCTTTGAACCCTCAGCTTGGAGTATTACATTAAAAAAAATGTATTGGAAAACCTCCAGAAGTTGAAGAAAAAATTTTATTCATTTCTCTATCAAAACAAAGGGAAAATGGGGTCTTATAAACCATTTCTATGAGGGCTCTCCCTCTTGAACTGAATTGCTCCCATGTAGCACTTAGTCGGGGGAATCTTCCTTTTGATCCCCAATGGGAATAAAAGGCTGCTTCAGAGAAAAACTAGTAGAGCAAGAGAACTGGATCTCATGAGCCTTTCATTTGATGCAGAGGGAGTGTTGCTTAGGTGAACAGAGAAGTTAATACCCCCTATGACTGCCTTGATGGCACCTGGAGCTTGTGCTCTTAGAGGCCACAGTTACAGCTGTGTATTTATGTATGTATGTATGTATGTATGTATGTATGTATGTATGTATGTATGTATGTATGTATAGAGACATTGCTGTGGCATGGTACCCTCAGCCAAGTGATGCAGAGGAGAGAATAAGACGCATGGCAGAGGGAGGAGGGAAAAGAAGGGAAGGCAAAGAAACCTGGTTCAGAAGGGTCAGGGAGCTATTTCTTACTTCGCCAGGAACTGATTCAAATTTTCCTGTTTCCTGTATTATTCCTTGCCCTGTGACCCATGGAGTCAGGCTACTCTGTGAGGAAAAGATTGGGTATACACTGGACAGGATGATTTCTCTGGTGAGATCAGTGCTTCCCAGGAGAAATGGAAATGTTTAGGATAGTGATGGGTAAAGAAGGTCACCTCCAGTCCTTAGAATACTCCCAAGGAGAAGATTCTATGGAAACCCTTCTCTGGTCTGTTTAGTAGAAGCCTTCCTCAGGCTCACTTGTGAAGAAACCTGTATTGTGAGTTTGTCAATGGATTATTGCTGCTGTCACAGTGTGGGGATTTCTCATCTGGGACTATAAACCGTAGGGCAGAGAACGACACTATAAAGATATCTGGAATGACAACCAGCTCTTTCATGACTAGCTTTGACATTATGAACAAAGAATATGGAAGGAAGAAAAACAATCAAGGCACTAGAGAGGTAGTCCTTTCTCTCTCTCTAATGGATGGCAACCACACTACAGAGAACCTCATTAGCCACCTAGACATGCCAACAAATATCTTGGAAAGATACCAGATATACTAGCCTAAACCTGATGGTTAGAATACCTTGACACTGGGAATATAATGAGCTGTGCAAAAATAGCCCACTGGCATCACTAAAAGTAATAAGAACTAAGCATTTACTATAAGCCAAACATTACAGAAATGTAAACACTTATTTTCCATAATGATCTCAAGAGGCAGGTACTACTTTTTTTCAGCCATAGGTATCTTTTAATATAGTTCAGACTTTTACTCAAACAAAAACAACATCTGGGGTGCTGAATTCCTTCTGTAGAGATTTTGAACTTTTTGATCCACAAAGTGGTGGATTTATTCTTGCAATTTTTTCTTACATTCCAATGCCAGTTATCCTTCCCTCCTTTCCTCCTACTCCCTCCACCTTACCCTCCTCCCATCTGTTCCATGGAGAGGGTAGGGTCTCCCTTAAGAAGTCTACTAAGTCTGTCTCATCATCTAGTTGAGGCAGGACTAAGGCCACTCTCCACTCCCACACCCCTGTGTCTAGGCTGGATGTGGTATCTCTCCATATAGAATGGACTCCACTAAGTCAGTTTGTACATTAGAGTGAGATCTTGGACCCACTGCCAGTGGCCTCATATATTGTCCCAGTCACACCATTGTCACCTATAGTAAGGATGTCTAGTTTGGTCTTATGCAGATTCCCCATTTGTCAGACTTGAGTCAGTGATCTCTCACTAGCTTGGGTCAGCTGATTCTGTGGGTTTCCCCATCATGGTCTTGACTCCGTTGTTCATATTTTTGCTCCTCCCTCACTTTGATTGTACTCCAAGAGCTTGGCCCATTGGTTGGTTGTGAATTTCCCATCTGCTTCCATATTTTTCTGGAAGAGGGTTCTAGCTTCTCTGGGGTTGTGGATTGTAGGCTGGGTATCTTTTGCTTTATGTCTGGTATCCACTTACGAGTGAGTACGTACTATATTTGTCTTGCTGGTTTTGGGTTACCTCACTTAGCAGACAGGTACTATTATCAATTCTGTTACATAAAGGAGAAAAGTGGGTCTCAATGAGATTAAATCTGGGGAGATCAGCTCTGTGGCTTAAGTGCTTGCACAGTTTAAAAGCTAGAGTTGGGATCTCTAACACCCATGTACAACAACAGGGTGGGTGTGGCAGCCTGTCTGTACTTCCAGAGTTCAGAAGTAGAGATGGGATCTTCAGAGTAAGCAGGCTAGCCGGACTAGTCAAGTGTTTTGAGACC